TTATACTCGTAATCAAGACCACCATTGCTACACATTGTCTGTTTGCACCTACTTATACTCGTAATCAAGACCACCATTGCTACACATTCTTTCATGGCTCGCAAGAAAACCAACACATGGAAAGACATTGTGTTTGGTTGTTTCACAAACACAACGCCTACTTTTGATCCCCAGATTCTGGTTTCTAAAACTGGTTTGTCACAGAGGTTATCGATATTGAATATTAGCTCGTCCATTTCCGCCATCAACGGTCTTTCGAATTTTATCGTTGGGTGGGACCTTCATGAGTTCACCATGGCTGAGCTAACCACGATCACCCATGACTTTGCGTCCAGCAATTATCTTGGTGAAGGTGGGTTTGGACCAGTTCATAAGGGATTCATAGATGACAAGACCAAGCCAGGGTTAGAGGCTCAACGGGTTGCAGTCAAGTTATTGGATTTGGATGGTGGTCAAGGTCACAATGAATGGCTGGTATGTATGACAATTAACAACCATTCTTTTTTATTACTTTTTCTGTAATTAATTTCTCTTAATTGTTATTACTATTATTTATAGGCTGAAGTGACATTTTTGGGGCAATTGAGGCATCCTCATCTTGTGAAGTTGATTGGTTACTGTTGTGAGAAGGAGAACAGGCTTCTTGTTTATGAATACATGGCAAGGGGAAATTTGGAAAGTCAACTATTTAGAAGTAATTTTCTTGTTCTCTTTCAAATTGCTAATCTTTTTTATATAATAAAGATGGCAAACTTATTAATCAAGATTTGATGATTTTATGGAKTCAGRGTATTCGATTTCYTTGCCATGGCTGACCAGGATTCAAATAGCACTTGGTGCTGCGAAAGGATTAGCCTTTCTTCATGGGGAGGAGAAACCTGTCATTTATCGCGATYTCAAAACCTCGAATATTTTATTGGGATCGGTATAATTCTCTTTTTWCATTAATCTTTATAAMATTTCTATTCKTTTGTGCAATTAGGRRCYRTYTGGTTGRTTTTCCATTAAGTCYTGGATAAAGTTRTMTGTRTAGATTGAAAAGATTTTTGTTTAGGAGGGGGTTTTCATAGATGGAAGGAGCATGTTYTWTAATTGGRAAGGCARRTTYRGRAAAAACTYGACTTTCTGCATAAAKCCCCGTCTAGAAACTTAYTGAATAAACCATTTTCTAWATTATTAAGTCACYACCAAACAGTCATGTATAGCTGACCGRATAAGCTCYAAGTCCAATTAAGCTMATTAAGCTGCTMAYAAATGGGCCATAAGTATGTTCATGTTTACGAAATGGTATATTTTGGTTTGATTCCATGAGCAGGATTATACTGCTAAACTATCAGATTTTGGGCTAGCGAAGGATGGTCCTGAAGGAGATGAGACACATGTCAGCACTCGAGTGATGGGTACACACGGCTATGCTGCACCCGAGTACATCATGACAGGTCATCTGACCACCATGAGCGATGTTTATAGTTTTGGGGTGGTTTTACTAGAGCTATTAACGGGCAGAAGATCGATGGACAAAAGCCGACCAAGTAGAGAGCAATGTCTAGTGGAGTGGGCAAGGC